TGAGCAGACGCGGAGCGAATTTTGTCCTGTCAGATCCGCTATTTTGGTGATAACTCAAAATCAACAGATTTGAAATGTTGTGAGGAAATAGCCTCCACTAACTCATTTACTTGTTTTGAATTCCGTAACGTGTAAGCAAACGTAAATTTGATTTAGAGTGTGGTTTTTGATCAGGATGTTTTTGATCAACTCGTTGCTTCATCACTGTTGTTTCTCTTCTTACTCTCGAAGCTTTTTCACTGCGATCTGTTATGAGTTCACCGCATTTGCATGACTCTGCGTAGTACTTCCGTTCAATTTCTGAAGAGCCTTGTCAGTGTTCGTTCATCGGTGCTTGAGTACCGCTCAAAAAGCCACTTCATCCATTTTCATCCTTTCCAGTTCTGAATATGGTTCAAAACTTTGACTGCATCTCAACCCGATCATTGTCAAAGTACCCAGCTAGGAAATATTTTCGATAACAGAAAATCTTCCTATAACAGATTAGGAGATAAGGGATCGATTTAATTATCATATACAAAATATGTTTGAATGCAGTCTCTGTTTCATCCCTTAGCAGTAAACACAGTCCGAATGCAATATATTGGTAGGAATGGAATCCATCAGTACAGCTTTCTACCCGTCATGTGCATGATGATGAAACGGAAGCTTGCGTTTCAGGTGCACGAAGAAGACCGAAGGATTTTCGAAAGCAGTCATCGAATAGTACTTCCAATATGCATTCTTCTGCTTCATCACAACGACATTGGTAATTTCATCAAGCTTTTTGACGTCACTTTTTTGTTATTTGGTTAAAAGAGCCTTTGCCGAACTCGATAAACTCAAACTGATTTTAAATTTAATTTTCTGAATCTAGAGAAAAGAACTTGTTTTAGACAATTTTAAATGATTTTTAGTTGTTAAACTGAATCCGATTTTTCTAGAAAACAGCGAGTGAATGTTTATTTCGGATGTGTGTGTATGCTGGCATGCCCGATGCGTTCGTCTGCATTTTATTATGAATTTTTCTAATTTTCCAAAACTGAATAAGTACTGATTGAGAATAAATGTTATATTGTGAGAATACTATACAATTTAATTCAGTAGTGGCAATGAATGGACAGACGCGTTCGATGCTCTGATTCGGGATCGTGAAGGTCGCTTGCAGTTCACTAAATTCCTCGAAAGCGAATATAGCGAAGAAAACATTTTGTTTTGGTAGCAATTTCTATTTTTATCACCAAAATAGTTAAATTTTGAGCATTTCGAAATGCGCCATGTTCTGTCTTATCTTTATTGGTACGCTAAAATTATTGTAATTTACTATATCAAAGAAAACAGCAAAAGAGCATGAGCACTAAACACACTGACATCGTTTGATTTTCTTTCTTCTTCTCTGTCAGAATACCTCGAAGTTAGCTTCCTGGTGTTTATTTCAGCCAAGAAATGATGAGGACTGAACAGTACCTTCGCGAACCTGATTTTCCGATTTTTTTCAAGTTAAAAATCAAAATGTCTCCTAACTTCGCTGTTTATAAGATCTTGAGGTACTGGTAATCTAAATGATATTAAACTATAAAAAGCAGCCAAGAGATGTTTCAGTTTTCGATGTTTTGCTCTTCTAAAATTTTCCTAGGAGTAATTTGATGAGCTTTCTTTTCTACGCAGAACTTCAAGTGTTTTTCATTTTAATATATGCTTAATTCTTTTATTCAAATATAAGGCGCATTTTTTGATGTTATTAAAACAAATGTCTCTTTCTGTATTCAGCACCTCCAAATCCATAAAATTTCTGATTTTTTGGCCAGCTCTTTATAGCGTAATGTTTTCAGGTGGGCAGTAGAGGAGCTACATGCGGTGGATCCGAGTGATGTACATTTGCTGGACACTGTCCATGAGATTTACAGTAAATTCGTAGCGGCTGATTCTTCGTTGGCGATAAACATAGACCACGACACGAGAGCCGAAATCCTGGAGCACATCGAGCGTCCATCACGAAACAATGCAAACGTCTTGCACATATTCGATAAAGCGCAGGCACACGTGTACAGGTGGGAGTTTCGGCATTCTTTGGGTTCGTTGTGTAACACATCTTCCTCGTGAGGTCTTAGCTTTGGGTTCTGGACCAGGGTGCACAGTCGAAAAATAACAGTGATACAGCTGGATTTAGGGAGTCTTTAAAAATTCAGATGACAGGCCGGAAAAAACTTTTAGTTTTTTTCAGAGCAACATTTTGCAAATATATAAGAAAATTACTCAAAGAAATGAATTAAATTTTCCTTTTTTTTTCTTCTGTGACATATCAGCTACTGTTTACCAAAGAGTACTATTATTCAAAGGGCACATCAAGTCCACCAGCTGTAAAACAATGGACTTCACATGTATCTTTGAGTAATAGAGGCTTGGCATAGTAGTTTTGTTCATAACAACTATGACGTGCAATTTATCCTGAAAGCCACATATTTGACGAGTGCAATTCATCGATGTGAAAAGCTCTGTTCAGTGCTTTCTTCTGAGGCATACATACACACATACATACATACATACATACATACATACATACATACATACATACATACATAC